ATTGCTAATTTTACATCTGTCAGATTTCAGTATTTGGATAAAATCACATAAAATCAGTAATATGTGTGTGTGCGTGTGTGTATGTATGTGTATGTATGTATATATATATATATATATATATATATATATATATATATATATATATATATATATATATCCATCCATCCATCCATCTGATTTCATTTTTTTTTACAACTTAAATCATTTTTCATTACATGTTAAGTTACAAATGACAAGGAAACACATTACATTTTAACGGAATAGGGTGTGAACAATACTAAAGTACTTTGGTACATATTTGGATATGATTATGTCTTGTGTCATATGATTATGTCTTGTGTCAGACATGGAATAACACACATGGAATGTGGGTGTTCTGCTGTTTATATTAAACTACCACCTGCACAGGTGCACAACCCAACATTTATGGTAACAAGCAAGTATTGCTACCAGTTCTGTTTAAACTGGGCATCTGTTCTGACCTGTGGCCTGAAGGGGGCAGCAGCACAGCCACTTTAGCCTTGTGTTTAGTCTTTAGCTAATCTATGGGAAAGGTCAGGAGGTCAAGTTAATAAGTATATAATAAAAGGGTTAATATGCAAAGGGGGAAGAACGAATAAGTACTTAAAATCAATATTTAAGTCTGACAACTTAAAAAAAAGTAAAGTAAAAAATCAGTACATGGCAAGTTTAGGGTCCAGTAATTGGTAATTAGTAAAATTTCCTCATATTTAACACTACTATAAAGTATAAGTTTAGTGATGGTGAGTTAATAATCACCATCGACAAATATAGGGCGCCAAATAATTATTTGACAGTTTGATTGAATAATGTTTCTGTCTTACATATGTTATAAAACATGGCATGTTTTTTTATCTGTAGCTCAGATTATGATACTAAAAATATGATTACTAATATTTCAATAGCTGACTAGATTGATCTTGACATCTCAGCCCTTCAAACATCATTTCAATTTGTTTATTTTCTTGTAGTGTGTAAGATACACCAGAAAGCTTATATACTTCTGTCTTTTGAATTCCTTGTAATCCATTGTAATCAGTCTAATCAAGAAAACAACAGTACTATCTTCATTTTGAACCCAGGTGTAGGTCACGTACGCACCTAAGCTATGTGTGCACTGCCAACAACAGTCAATTACTGCAAGTGCCTCTGTCTCAATAAAAGGAGAGAGCGCCACGTCACCAGGAAAAATATGTTAAAAATGCAGTGGCCCATTTCAAAGTGTGAAAAACAAGCACACGTTGTTTCGATTCTTGCAGCACTTTAAAATTTCCAACCAGTATTTATCTTTTTATTGAGGCTCTATTTATATACTCACTCACATGATAGGTTTGACAGAAAGGGAACACACTGTTTAGTTAGTGGCAGCATTTCATTGTTATTAGTGAGGTTGCAACATCAATAATTCTGCAACATCAGGAAGTGCCTCCCTGCAGTTTAAAATAGACCCATGTTCATTATGTTTTCATGTACTTTTGGTAAAACAGGCTATTTGTGTAGGTTGAGTTACAGAAGCATGGTGTAGTCAAACCATACATGGCTACAGGAAGTGTACTCTATTTTCTAAATGTCAATTAGTCACTTTCTTTTTATTGCTGTTTTTATGATTTTCATAAAGTTTTCACAGATTTCAAAATTTGTATGAAATGACTGACCTTTACCACAGTATGCAATCATATTTAACACCTTGAGCAGACAAGACAGACTGGTATGTTCTGAATTCCTAAAAATCCAACTAAAATATTATGAGGAGAGTTTGTCACAAAAAACACAAACAAAAAAAACTTAAATGCCACTAACACAGTCTGCCAGTCTTATCTCTTATACTGTACAATGAAACTCTGACTTCTCTGGTCCTACTGACTTTGAGTTTAGTTTAAAAATTGCTACAGTTTAGCAAATATTTAGAAAATATTTTTTTCCTACCTGATGTCATGTACTGTTATCTACCTCTTGTCTTCTATTTTATTTTATTTATGCCTTATTGTCTATGTTATTGTTTTATTTTTTACTCTGTTGTTTTTATTATGTTTTATTGGTGTAAATGCTGTATTTTACAAGAACATACGTTAAACACTTTTATATCTTTAATCTGCAAATGTTTTACTGCCTCATGTAAAATAAAATATTAACTTTCAGAGAGATAAAACATAAAAAATTTAAAATAACCCTTTTCAATTATTGTCTAAGCTGGTAATCTCAAAATTATAATTAGGTCTATATTAAGAGTGAGGGGTACACATTTTAGTAGGGGGTCCGTCACCTGCTTGTAAACAGGCATTCTGACTGTGAGCGGGGTCGCCTCTCCAGAGATCTGGCCTGTTACTTGGGCTATTTTGCTTTCCATGAAGATAGAAAGGTTAAATATTGTACTGTGTAACATTCCAGACAAAGCAATAACATCTCAAGAAAAGCATTTGACGCAACCTCCACCACAAAAGTTACACAGTCCATCTTTAACTACTTATTATTATCAGCGCACCTCTCCAGGCCAATAGCAGTCAGTGCCATGGAGCTCTTCAAAGTCCACTCTGGTTCCGGAAGTACATTTCCCATAAATTTTTTGCATAGACTTTAAAAAAAAAAGTTATATCAAGAGTTAAAAGCCATTATGGAGGCTAACCAGCTACGTGGTAACTAATGTCCATAATGCCAAGTCCAAAAAGTACATTTAGATCTTAAAATTTTGCTAAATGTTTTAATAACAGTGGTTTATAAAATTTCAGAAACAGGTTTTAAATAAAATTCTAGGTCACTGGTAACCACGAAGCTGATTTCAGGCTTTTAATATAACAAAACAGAAAGAATAGAAAAAATTTACAGGAAATTGACTTTACCAGAACCAAGTGGCCTATCCCATTTGCAAATTTACTTGTAAGGCTACATACAATAGTGGGTAGTACTTTCTATGTGCAGGAACCAATACATGTCTAACACAATGGGACAATGTGAAAGCAAACATATTGCAACATGAATGTATGAATCATAGCAGATTCATTTGCAATGTGAAGGCATTTTAAAGCAATTCATTTTTTAATTGTAACTTATATAACACAACTTTTAAGGAAGTCTGCTATTCTGATTAACTTGACTCACCGTATATATCAAATATTTTGGGTGTAGACAGTGTACATACTGACTTTTTAAGATTGCATGGGGCACTTTCCTGGTATGGGCGTCAAAAATAGCCACTGCTTCCTTTTTGGTGAAGACCGAAATAAGTTTCATCATTCTTATTCATATCTTCAGACCAGAAAAAACTGTCTGCAACACATGAGAAAGAGATGCAAATATGGTTCATTACTGATATTTACGGAGGAACTGTCAGAGTTTCAGTCAGCTATAGAAAGTCCATAGTCCTTCTTGTTTGATGTCATCTTTATGTTTATGGTATTTAGTAGAATTGAGTAGAACTTCCTTGTATGTCCATTTTACAGTTCCTATGCACAATTTAGACATTTCTTAATGCCATAAACTCTAGCCTCTAGTCATGTCACTGTAACATTTTGCTATGCTGTTATTGTAGGATTGGTCATCTGTCACTGGAGTTATAAAAGAATGCTTTCTTCCTGTAAAAAAAAAAATTCCCATCTTTAAAACATTCACAGCCTTTTAGAATGGCCAAGATGTACCAAGATTATCTGGGCATTTTAGTGTTAGTAAAAAAGTGATGAACAAAGACAAATATATGGGTGAAAAATGTGCCACAAGCATTAATAACTAGGTATGTCTTTGCCACAACTACGCCAATTGTAATTGTGAAAAAGGTGATAAAAATGTGTTACTTAACTTTGGGTTAGTGTTAATTGGTGTTTGCTGGAAATGACCAAGTATCCAAACCTGTTTAAAGGTGCATTATGTAACTTTTCTGGTGGAGGGTCCGTCAAATGCTTTCTTCATGGAGATGTTATTGCTTTGTCTGGAATGTTTCACAGTGTGGTATTACACCTTTCTATCATAGAGACCAAACCAGACCAAGTCAGATCTGTGGAGAGGCAACCCTGCTCATGGTCAATGTCTTGTTTCTTGAAGTATTTTGGAGCTATAAGACCACCTGTCATTGAATAAATGTAAGGAGCTGTTTAATGTCATACTGTGGAACATTCAAGGCAGAGCAATGGCATATCCATAGAAACAAGCAGGTGAAGGACCCCAAACCAAAATTTACCATATTGCACCTTTAAATATGAGTTACGAAAGATATTAATAACTAGATACAGTATGTCTTTGACACAACTTGGCACCTTATAAATAAGGTGAACAAAAAGGTGTTACTTAATTGTGACTTAGTGGTTGGAGTTTACTGGAAATTACTCTGGTATTTAAACCAGTTTTAATTTAGCATTACATAACTAGATATTTCCTTGCTACAAATGGGGCACTTGTATCACATCCAAATTCACCACAAACATCCTTGTCGTGAATCAGTGCCATGTATTAT